TCGCGTCACATAGGAACCCAAACCCTAGCCATCAGCCACTGCCAGAAAAGAAGAGCCAAATGCTAGAGAAGGAGGCCGACAACCAACTGCCGCCGCACTAGAGCCATCAGTCGCCGAAAAAGGTAAAAAAATTTCCTATCCTGTGGCCAAATCAGAGTAAGAGGAACGGCGGGTGAGCCAGAAATCGCATGTAAAACCCAGTAAAGCCGCCACAGCCAAACTTATAAAATTTCTCTTATGAGTCCCTTTCCGATTCTCGTTTCACATGATTTTTTTATCATTATGTTCACCGTCCTTTTTTGTACAGGCCGAAGAAGGAATCCCCCGCGAAGGAAAATCGGCAGAGCCGCCGCACACGGTGATCCCCCGCCGGTAAATTAAGTGTTTTTGGTGATTTTTCGGCCCACTAAGGCCCTTAACATATTTTTTCATAGGGATACGTGTAAAGTTGACCAAAATCGACCAAAACTGGCCTAGCCGATGTGAACCATCGCCGGAGCACAATGACTTCGCCCTGTCAGAACCCTAAATTTAGCCAAAAAGGGTTTTGGACACCGATTTTATATTTTTGAGGTATTTTTAGGTACGTCACGAGTGTTTTAAATTCCACAAAAAAAAATTCAAGGAAACTCAGTACCCGTTAGGAGGCGTGGTAGACAGTGCGACGTCTCAAAATACCAATCTGGATAAGGATCCCTCACCCTATTATCCGTTATAGTAAATTGAGACTTAACCATGTATAATTTCGATTTTTTTTTAAAATACAAAAACTTTAAAAATTATTACAGGTTACTAATAGAGCCAGAACCAGTTAGTTCATAATTATTTTGATTTCTTGTTTATTTTTCTATACTGTCTTACTTGCTTGATTTTCATATATTACATGTTCTTAATTTATAGTTTCAATGGTCTTATCGATCTATCTGGTTATTTTGGTTATATACTGTCAGTATGAATATAGTTTAATTTATCTGTAAATATAATATAAGATATTGGTATGCATTTATTGATTGTTTGTTGATGAAAATCTGTATGTGAAAGACTTACTAGTTACCTAGAAAAATGGTGAACGGGCCGGTACATAGAGAACTCTACCATGAACGTTACCTAAGTTGGATGGGACTGAGAAGTCCCTTACCAGAAAGGTTTGAGAAATATGGTTCATTCTCATACTGGACAGGGTATCGAGGTGACAGAATATTTAGCGCCCATTACTAGACAGGGTATGGGATGGCCGGTCAATTATAAATTTGATATTGAATTCATGAGTAGGGGGACCATCCCTATGAACCATCAAGGGTACCAGTAAGCAGGTAAGAAATGAAAGTTATTGTCTCTTATTCTCTTATGCATGAAAGTGAAAGTGGTATGGATATAGGTATTCATAGGTTATTTTTGGAAAACTCGTTACAGTAAGTATCAAACAATTAAGTTTAAAAGTATTTAAATAAAGCAATTGCTCCATTAGTTATTTTTTTTTTATCAATCTTCAATTTTTCGTATCTGTGATTAATGTAATATTCTCACTAAGTTAGTGTAGTTCACATTTTCATTAACTATTTTAAATCAAGATGACCAGGATTCAGATCCCGATCAGCAAGAGGGTTGTAAATAGTTCACAATCCGGACTCTCTTCAAGTGCTAGTGAAAGTTGTCCTATGGTACTTTTGTATCCGCTCTTCTTTTTTTTTTTTAATTACTGCTTGTCTTTCAAAAGAAATATTCTCGTAACCCTATTGGGCATTCTAATTTATTGTGTAAGAAATGTAAACCCTAATTCTATTAATCGCTTCTGCATTTACTTTTATGAATTTATTTTCCTTTAAGGTCTCAAGCCTCTACAGTTGGTATTTAGAGTCGCGTTCTTCATAACTATTCTTTACATAAAACATAAATGTATCATCGAAAATATTTGATTCTGTGTTGTTTGCATCTACTCTTAAAAGTAGGACACTATTATAGGAGGTTATATACTTAGCTTTGTATCATAGGCATAACAGATAGAAAATTGAGTGTGAACCTGATAGAGATTGACATGGGGGACTTTGATGTAATTCTGGGAATGAACTGGTTAGTGGTGTACCATGCCACCGTAAATTGTTTCCACAAGAAACTTGTATTCAACCATTCTAACGAAGAGTCATTTACAAGTTAATGAAAATTTTAAATATTATTTCCTCATGATAATTTCTTCATTACATAGTATTTTAACTTTGTTATCTTCTCTACATTAGGCAAACCTAAGAAATAAGTTTGTATTCAAGAGATCTTGGTAGTCCGAGACTTCTCAAATGTGTTTTCTGAGGAACTACCTAGACTGCCGGTGGACAGAAAAGTTGAGTTCATTATAGATTTTTAACCATACACATAGTCAAATCTCAGTCACCCCTTACTGTATGAATCATGTTGAGATAGAAGAATTAAGAAAATAGATAAATGAGTTACAGGATACTGGGTTTATCTGACATAGTGTGTCTCCTTGGAGTGTTGATGTCACATTTGCAAGAAGAAAAGATGGGACGTTATGATTGTGCATAGACTACAAGAGATTAAACAGAGTCACGATCAAGAACAATTACCCCCTCCCCAGATTTGATGATCTTTTTGACTAATTGCAGGGTGCCCAAGTCTTCTCCAAAATATATTTGCGTTCAGATTACTATCAGGTAAAGATCAAGGCAGAGAACATTCTAAAAACAGCTTTTAAAACTAGGTACGAACATTATGAATTCCTTGTCATGCCCTTTGGACTAACCAATACACCAGTCATTTTTATGGACTTGAAGAACAGAGTTTTCAGATAATTTCTAAACCAATTCGTTATTGTGTTTATCAATGATATCCTAGTCTATTCAAATAGCAGAGAAGGACATGATCACCACCTTACTCATGTTTTGTAGATTCTGATAGAGAAGAAATTGTATGCAAAATTAAACAAGTGTAAGTTTTGCCTCAAGCATACTATCTTTCTAGGACATATCATATCAAGGAATGAAGTATTAGTGAACTCTCAAAAAGTTGAGGCAGTACTTTGATGAGAGAAACTGATATCGATCAAGAACATTTGTAATTTTCTGAGAATGATAGGTTGTTACCGCAGGTTTGTAGAAAGATTTCTAGCCTACCCGCTCCTTGACCCGGCTCATAAAGAAGAAAGTTAAGTTTGAATATAACGAGGACTGCAAAAGGATATTTACAGAACTCAAGAAGCAGTTGACTACTGCACCCATGTTAGCCGTACTGAATAGGACAAGTATATATACAGTGTATAGTGATGCCTCCGATCTAGGTTTGGGTTGTGTTATGATGTAGCATGGCAAGGTCATAGCCTATGGGTCTAGACAATTGAAGAGTTGTGAGAAAAATTACCTCATCCATGACTTAGAACTTGTCGTCATTATCTACGTCTTAAAGACCTGACACCACTACTTGTATGGGAAGACTTTTGAGGATTTTACTAATTATAAGAGCTTGAAATATATATTCGCTCAGAAGGATCTGACCATACGTCAGAGGCATTGGATAGAGCTCCTCAAGGATTATGATTATAATATTTTATATCACCCGAATAAAGACAACGTAATAGCTGACGCGCTCAG